CCCCCCCCCCCCCCCCAACCCAAACTCCACCCCAACCTCAACCTCCACCCAACCTCAACCTCCACCCAACCTCAACCTCCACCCCAACCTCAACCTTCCAATCCCAACCCAACCCCAACCTTCACCCCAACCCAACCTCCACCCCAACCTCCACCCCAACCCAACCTTCCAATCCCACCTCAACCTCCACCTCAACCCAACTCCAACCTCCACCCCAATCCCAACCCAACCAACCCCAACCTCCACCCCAACCCAACCTCAACCCCCAGGAGATGATTTCCCCCCTAAATTCACCCACTTTTGAAGGCCCATTGAGGTCTTGGTGTCCCCAAACCAACATGGTGTCCTTGAAAGCTCCTTGAAGGACCCAACTTGGGTGTGTTGGGGTTTCTTCCCCATCACCTCCTGCCCAACTGGAGGAGCTTCACCCCAAAGCTGCTCTGATGCCTCCACCAAGGCCTGGTGTGGTCACAACCCTCCCCAGGTGGGATCAGGAATCATCACCCAAAAAATGGGACATTTTGGGGCAGTATTTCAGGTTCTGGAGTCTTGGTGGGACCTTCTGCTTCAGGGAGATCCTTCTGCTCTTCCTTCCAACCCTTCTTTGTCTTCACCTCTGGTCCCAACCAGGAGAAAATCAGGAGGGAAGGGAGGAAAATTGTGGGTGAATTCCAGAGTTTCCAGCAGTTTTTGAAGGAGCAGGAGCATCTTCTCCTCACCCAACTGGCAGATCTGGACGGGGCCATCACCAAGGTCCAGGAGGAAGCAGTGGCCAAGGTCTTGGAGGAGGTGGCCCAGCTGGAGACCTTCCTGTGGGAGATGGAGGGGAAATTCCAGCTGCCAGCCCGGGGGTTCCTGCAGGTGGGAACACGGTGGGGCCAGGGGGGGTGGGGACACTTGGGGGGCTCAGACCCATGGGAGGGTCCTTGGGGTGTTCCAGGAGGTTCTTTGGGGTCTTCCAGGAGGTTCTTTGGGGTCTTCAGGAGGTTCTTTAGTGTCTTCTAGAAGGTTCCTTTGGGATCTTCCAGGAGGTTCCTTTGGGGTCTTCCAGGAGGACCCTTTGGGGTCTTCTAGGGTGTCCCTTTGGGATCTTCCAGGAGGTCCCTTTGGGGTCTTCCAGGAGGTTCTTTGGTGTCTTCCAGGAGGTTCTTTGGGGTCTTCAAGAGGTCCCTTTGGGGTCTTCCAGGAGGTTCTTTGGGGTCTTCTTGGGGGTCTCTTTGGGGTCTTCCAGGAGATTCTTTGGGGTCTTCCAGGAGGTCCCTTTGGGGTCTTCCAGGAGGTTCTTTAGTGTCTTCTAGAAGGTTTCTTGATGTCTCCTAGTTGGGATCATCCCAAACTCTTCCTTGAAGACACTTCCAGTTCCTCTTCCTGACTCTTTTCTCCTCTCTCTCCACCTCTAGGACATCAGAAAATACCTGGACAGGTAACGTGGCTTCTTCTCCTCCTCCTCATCCTCAGGTGACCTCCCACCAGGACGTTTTGGGGACAAACTGCCAAGAAATGGGGGGAAATTTGGTGGTTTGTTGGGTGTTTTTTTTTTACTCCTGGGGAAGGAGCTTCTGGGTCTCCTGGAGAAGGAGATTCAGGATCTTCTTCTGGAGAAGGATCTTCAGGATCTCCTGGGGAAGGAGCTTCTGGGTCTTCTCCTGGAGAAGGATCCTCAGGATCTTCTCCTGGGGAAGGATCTTCTGGGTCTTCTCCTGGGGAAGAATCTTCAGGATCTTCTCCTGGGGAAGGATCTTTTGGGTCTTCTCCTGGGGAAGGAGCTTCAGGATCTTCTCCTGGGGAAGGATCTTCAAGATCTTCTCCTGGGGAAGGATCTTCTGGGTCTTCTCCTGGAGAAGGATCTTCTGGGTCTCCTGGAGAAGGATCTTCTGGGTCTTCTCCTGGGGAAGGATTTTCTGGGTCTTCTCCTGGAGAAGGATCCTCAGGATCTTCTCCTGGGGAAGGAGCTTCAGGATCTCCTGGGGAAGGATCTTCTGGGTCTTCTCCTGGGGAAGGATCTTCTGGGTCTTCTCCTGGAGAAGGATCCTCAGGATCTTCTCCTGGGGAAGGAGCTTCAGGATCTCCTGGGGAAGGATCTTCTGGGTCTCCTGGGGAAGGATCTTCTGGGTCTTCTCCTGGGGAAGGATCTTCAGGATCTCCTGGAGAAGGATCCTCAGGATCTTCTCTTGGGGAAGGATCTTCTGGGTCTTCTCCTGGAGAAGGATCTTCTGGGTCTCCTGGAGAAGGATCTTCTGGGTCTTCTCCTGG